CACACACAAAAGATATATACATATTTTCTTCCTTGGGATACATGCCAAAAAGTAGAATGTTGAGCCAAAATCATACTTCTGTTCAGTGCCTGCAATGAGCCTGACCCTGGGGTAAGTGCTGTGCCCTAACAGGTGCTAGGACAGCCATGGGCAAACTCCGGCCCGCGGGCCGGATCCAGCCCGTTTGAAATGAATAAAACTAAAAAAAAAAAAAGACCGTACCCTTTTATGTAATGATGTTTACTTTGAATTTATATTAGTTCACACAAACACTCCGTCCATGCTTTTGTTCCGGCCCTCCGGTCCAGTTTAAGAACCCATTGTGGCCCTCGAGTCAAAAAGTTTGCCCACCCCTGGGCTAGGAGCAGGGCATCATCCCTCACTGTGGGCACTGAGGTCAGGTCATGACCAAAGAGTCCTGATCGCACAGGCTCTAGATGGAGAGATAGAAAGCTTATTTTCTAAGTTAATTAAATGTCTGACCAAATATAGCAGGCTAATGTTTAAGTGGATAATTTTGTATGGCCCAGGAATGATGTTATAAATATCCAAATGGCTCTTGGCAGAAAAAGGTTCCCCACCCCTACTCTGGATGGACTCAGGGTCCAACCCATTGTCCTACCCGTGGCCAAGAGGTATTACAGGGAAAGGGTTCCGGGCAGTCAGCCGAGGGAAAGGCACACAGGACTAATCCTCCCTCCGTCAGAGTCCAACCACATGCAGTTGTCTGTGGGGGAGCTCACAGCCTGGGAGCCAGGGTTTCTATCAGGTGTCAGTCACGTAGGCACCCTCTGCATAGCACAAACAAACATTCCAGGAGCATGAGCCACTGTCCTCAGTGAGGGAATGGCGAGAACCCTGCAAGTCCAGCCAAGGACCAGTCTTGCAAGCAGGCTTAAGGTTAGCAGTTTCAGGCCCGCTGTGCAAGGGATATACACTTTTCAGGATGCTTTCTTCTATTCCTCTCTACTTTGATCTCTCTCTCTCTCTCTCTCTCTCTCTCTCTCTCTCTTTCTCTGTTGATGTCTTATGGTCTGTTTGTCAGTATCTGTGTGTTTGTCTCCATATGTGTGTATATTTATTCATATAGCACATATATGAATATATACACACACTATATTATGTGTATATATTCATATATAGAATTTAAAAAATATATTTTATTGATTTCAGAGAGGAAGAGAGAGGGAGAGAGATGGAAACATCAATGATGAGAGAGAATCATTAAGGCGGCTGCCTCCTGCACACCTCACACTGGGGATCGAGATCACAACCCAGGCATGTGCCCTGACCGGGAATTGAACTGTGACCTCCTGGGTCATAGGTTGAAGCTTAACCACTGAGCCACCATGGCTGGGCTTATATAGAGAAGTTGACAAGGTATTGTACCATCTTGTTTTGGTAACATTATTTTCCTACTGACGGTATATCTGAAATGCTTTTCATATTCTAAGTATTTCAACTTAGCAGGAAGTAACCACTGACCTCGGTGTTCTGCATTGATAGTGTGCATGCGTTTATGGGGTCAGCTTTTCCTGTCCGCCTGCCACGTCCTGACTCATGTCACCCTCTCTGGAGGCCAGAAGAGATTTGAGTTTGGATGATGCAGCCTCTCCTAACCCTGGACAGTGTGACTGGAGGGAGCAGGATGGACTCCAAGTGAGGCTAGGTACCCTCAACACACCCACTCGGGCCCAGATCCCAGTCCCCTCCCCAGAGTTAGCCACATTGGGGGTTTGAGGGCCGCCCTCAGTTTTGGCGCCAACTGCAGGTTTGGGAGTTTCCTGAAACCAGCCTCAGGGTCAGTAATTCAGGACTAGGACGCCCGGCACTCACTGGAAGCTCTCCTCTCAGGGGTGCGGTTTATTACAGGGAAAGAGCACAGAGTAGCATCAGCCAAGGAAGTAGGTGTGTAAGTCCAGGTGTGGGGGGTGTTCACAACCTGAGCTCCGGTGTCCTCGCCCCAAGGGCACTGCCTACCAGGGACTCACCTGGTCCACCAGGGCTTCATCACATAGGCACTACTAATTGACTTGACTATAGAGAAATATAGACCTGATTGATTAGGTCAACTGATACCCCATGACCCAAAACCCCCACCCAAATCACTTGGTCCTTCTAGGATGAGGAGCTCCTACCCTAAGACTGTTGGGTATGGCCAGCCCCACCCTAAGATTGTTGGGTATGACCAGCCCCACCCTAAGATTGTTGGGTATGGCCAGCCCCACCCTAAGATTGTTGGGTATGGTGAGGCCCACCTTAAGATGCAGCATGGCAGCTAGTACCCAAAACAAAAGACCTTCCTATCAAGTCTGATGCAGATTACCTCTCAGAAACTGAGGACAAAGGCCAGGTCTCTCTTTGGTCAAGAACAAGTCCTTAATACTTACCCCTAACAGGGAGCTGGCTGAAGATCCTCCTGCTAAAATGTTTGGGTCTGACTTCAAAGCAAAAAAATAACTAAAAACCCCTCTTTTCTGCCCTGTGCTGCTGGGTGTCCTGGAGTTGGAGGGAGAGCCTGTTTTCCCTCCGATCTTTTCCTGACCGGTGGTGTCTGTGTGCGGGTGCTGGGAAGGAGCTGGCGTCCTTGTGAAGCAAAGATGGAGGAGCAGGAAGGTTGTGTGAAGTCACTCTGGGGACCCAGGTGCACTGACTTCAATGCCTCTTTCTCCTGGCCCAGCTCCGCCTTCTCCAGAGTTGGTCTGCGGTGAAGGAAGCCCTTAGACAACTCATCGGGTCCTGATTCTGAAACTATGGCCCACGTAAGTGTGTATGTCTCTTCCCTCCCCGCAGTGTGCTATTTGGATCCCGTGGTGGTTTTTATTAATTATCCCCAAGCCTCCTGCCCCAGGGAGCCCCATCCAATGACCTGCTTCCAGTCCTCTCCATTCCGTCAATGGTGATGCCGCATAGCCCCTCGCCCACCTCGGGGCCCACGTTCATAGAACGTGGCGCTGATGATTCAGTACCTCCCTTATGCTCAGTGTTTTGTCAGCGGGAACGTTGGGGGAATGGAGGAAGAAAGTCCCTGGGGAGAAAGATTTGCTTCGGGTCCATGGTCTGATTAGTTGGAGATGTTGGACGCTTTTGAGCACAGGAGAACACGGAAATCCTCTGTTCCAGGCAGAAAAGAGGGGATGTGCATATTAGTTGGCCTCGGGATTAGTGTGTGAGGACAGCCCAGGCTCTGAGGCTGTGAGCATCCGACAGGGCAGGGCCTGAGGCCAGGGGACCCGAGAGGCCACTTTTCTTGTTGAACAGACCTCTGTGTGTGTCTGTGTCGTTTGCCACCAGCATCCTTTCAGTCAGGAACAAGGGATGGGGAGTGGCGGGGTGGTCATGGATCAGAGCACCCAGTACAGACGAATAGGTGACCACATGCTCCCAGAACTTCGGACAACCGGAGTTGTTTTGCGCAATCATTATCATTCAGTCTAATCTGTCCGTGTGTTGGAATTTTAAAAATGTTTTCTGTCATTACAAAGCCGTAGGAATGCTGTGAGGCAGGCACGTGGCAGGCTGTGTGTGTGGGAATGGGAGGAAGCCAGGATCGCTCTGTCCTTGCTCCGCAGGCTGCGGTGCCGGATTGCACAGGTGCAGCTGGCTTTTCTCTGCAGTCACATGGAGGGATTCTGCCTGTCACGGCCACGCCCTCACTGTCCCCTCCCATCTCTCAGGCTTTCTGGGAGGCACTGTGTCCACTCTACCCAGAGCGTAGGCCTGCCTCTCCTTTCCTTCGTCTTGAAACTGCCCTTCCGTTTCCTCGGGGACATGTGGTTTGTGTTCTCAGGGTCCCGTGACGTTCTCAGACGTGGCCATCGACTTCTCCCAGGAGGAGTGGGCCTGCCTGGACTCCACGCAGAGGGACCTGTACTGGGACGTGATGTTGGAGAACTACAGCAACTTGGTCTCACTGGGTAAGTTGCCTGAGTCATCTAACTCACACTCTGCTCCCTGGAATGTCAGCCCCTTCCCTTGTGAATTTTAGGGCTGCCTTTCAAGAGACAGCGTTTAGCCCAGCAGGTGTGACTCAGTGGTTGAGTATCGACCCATGAACCAGGAGGTCACGGTTCGATTCCCAGTCAGGGCACATGCCTGGGTTGCGGGCTCGATCCCCAATATGCAGAGGCAACGGGGCAATGATTCTCTCTCATCATTGATCTTTCTCTCTTTCTCTTCCTCTTCCTTTCTGAAATCAGTAAAAAAAAATTTTTTTTTTTAAGAAATGAGTTGAATCTTCTTCCTGTTCCCAGGGAGTGCTTTGAGCCTTGTCGGGTTGGAAGTGACCATCACACACCTTCCTCTCATCATCCACCAGTGATCTTCCCACCTTCGTCTGGCCCTTTCTGTAGTTCCCACTCTCTTCATGAGCAAAGGATTAGTTAGAATTCTGGAATATTTATTTCACAACCATCTTCAAGAAAACCAAGCTTCCTACTGTGTTGTTATGTTTATACCCAAATGGCCCGTGGTTCTTTGGGGTGACGTGATTTCTCTATAGAGGTGGATTGACAAACAGAATTCACATAAAAGCAAACAGCATATTCCATTTCCGACACATTGTGCCCAAAGTGAGGTTGAAAATTACAAATCTGTGACCTTTGAGTTAAACATTAGATGATAATATCTTGTCATTATCTCAGGAAATTTCTTATTTTTCTGTTAGAAAAGTAACAACCATAATATTTATGGCTAATTTTTTAAAAATATATTTTTGTTGATTTCAGAAGGGAAGGGAGAGGGAGAGAGAGAGAGAGAAACATCAACGATGAGAGAGAATCATTGATCGGCTGCCTCCTGCACACCCCCCACTGGGGATCGAGCCCACAATCTGGGCATGTGCCCTTGACTAGAATTGAACCCAGGACGCTTCAGTCCGCAGGCCGACAGGCTATCCACTGAGCCAAACCAGCTAGGGCCTTATGGCTAATATTGTGCTCACTGTATACGAGGTATTGAACTAGGCATTGTGTGTATGTGTTGTATAAATACATTTCATTTCATTCCCACAAGTTTAGGAGATAGACACAGCGATTAAGTGTGATTTGCGGATGAGTATGCTGGGTCCAGAGGACATGGTCAGACAGAGGAGGCAGGAGCAAGAACTGAACGGAAGAATTCTGGCCCAAATCCATGCTGCCAGCTACCACGTTCTACTTGCCACCAGGGAGAAGGCCTTCAGAAGTTTAAAATGAGACCTGTCCCTACCTGTCGGTCCACCTGTTGGTTCTCTAACCCTTTCTCTCTTTTTGAAGTCTCTGTGACTTTGACGTCTAGGTGGTTATAAACTTGATTTTCCTGGGTTGCCCAGGTATGTCATCACCACACGTACAAAGTATGCTCCTTTTCGTCTTTAATTCCCAGATTTCCCCTCTAGTGTCTGGTGCTTACTCGTGTCTGCTCATAGGAAGTAGTAGCTGATAGTCTTCAGGTTTATTCATTAATATTGTGGTACCAGACACGCACATGTTAGCAAGGGTCTAGTTGGTTCATATTTATTCTACTAGAGAAGCTTTTTTAAAATACATACGTATACAGTGTGTGTGTGTGTATTTTTTTTTTATTTTATTTTTTTATTGATTTCAGAGAGGAAGGGAGAGAAACATCGATGATGAGAGAGAATCACTGATTGGCTGCCTCCTGCACGCCCCACACTGGGGATCCAGCCCATAACCCGGGCCTGTGCCCTGACCAGGAATTGAACTGTGACCTCCTGGTTCCTAGGTCGACACTCAACTACTGAGCCACACTGGCCGGGCTTCCTTTTCCTTCTTAACTGGACAACTTGAGGACAAAATCTTATATATCAAACATTTTAAATATCCCATATACTTTGCACACAGGAGAGAGTTCTTTGTTGTTGAAAAGGGGGACATATGGTTTTTAAGAGTAAAAAAAATTGTTTCCTATCACTTATGTTAAGAATTGATAAAAGCCTACACACTGGGTTGGTGAGGCAAGAATTTTCTTTACTTACAGAAGAATGTTCTAACCCATTATTGACTCCCCATAATGAGATTAAATTTTTATGTCACTGACTGCTCATATTTGCCCTGGCGGGTTTGGCTCAGTGGATAGAGCGTCGGCCTGCGGACTGAAGGGTCCCAGTGTAAAGACTGTGGGAAGGCCTTCATCTGTGGCTCGAGCCTGGCTCAGCACAAAAGGATTCACACGGGCGAGAAGCCCTACGAGTGTAAAGACTGTGGGAAGGCCTTCATCTGTGGCTCGAGCCTGGCTCAGCACAAAAGGATTCACACGGGCGAGAAGCCCTACGAGTGTAAAGACTGTGGGAAGGCCTTCATCTGTGGCTCGAGCCTGGCTCAGCACAAAAGGATTCACACGGGCGAGAAGCCCTACGAGTGTAAAGACTGTGGGAAGGCCTTCATCTGTGGCTCGAGCCTGGCTCAGCACAAAAGGATTCACACGGGCGAGAAGCCCTACGAGTGTAAAGACTGTGGGAAGGCCTTCATCTGTGGCTCGAGCCTGGCTCAGCACAAAAGGATTCACACGGGCGAGAAGCCCTACGAGTGTAAAGACTGTGGGAAGGCCTTCATCTGTGGCTCGAGCCTGGCTCAGCACAAAAGGATTCACACGGGCGAGAAGCCCTACGAATGTCAAGAATGCGGGAAGGCCTTTACCCGTGTCAATTACCTTACTCAGCATCAGAAAATTCACACTGGTGAGAAGCCTCATGAATGCAAGGAGTGTGGGAAGGCCTTCCGCTGGGGTTCCAGCCTCGTGAAACACCAGAGAATCCATACGGGGGAGAAGCCATACAAGTGCACGGAATGTGGGAAGGCCTTCAACTGTGGCTATCACCTGACCCAGCACGAGAGAATCCACACTGGCGAGACGCCTTACAAATGTAAGGAGTGTGGGAAGGCCTTTATTTATGGGTCCAGCCTGGTGAAACACGAGCGGATTCATACCGGAGAGAAGCCCTACGAGTGCAAAGAGTGTGGGAAAGCCTTTAGCCACGGCCACCAACTCACACAGCATCAGAGAGTGCACAGCAGTGCGAAGCCCCACGAGTGTCAGGACTGTGGAAAGGCGTGTGGCCACGCACACCATTACAGAGGACACCAGGGGCTCCACGCCGCGGGCAAACCTTTCGAAGACAAAGAATGTTCAGAGGCCTCTAGACAGCACTTGTTTCTTCCACAACACGAGGCAAATTCGTGATACGATTTAACATAAGGAAGTCGTCACCGGCCACTCTTCTTCCAGAATCTCAGGATAGTCCTGTGAGAGGCAGGTTTGGAGACGAGAAGTCACTTTTCCTCCCTGATTACAACATACTCAGTGTAGACAGTTTGTTTACTGGATGGGTTAATGGACGCATAGAAGGTTCCCAGGACCTTTTGATTTCATTTCAGATTCATTCTGGGGAATAACTGCTGATGTAACATACGTGCAATAGCCTTTCCTCGCCACGGCTGTCATCCTCAGCCCCCCCTCACTCACTGTGCCTCGGGGGAAATGACCTTTAACCCCTGTGCAGATCTGTGAAATCAGGACAGCCACGTGATACTGCCCGTGGGCCATTAGACAAGTCTGGTATGTGGAACTCCCTGCAAGTGTATCTGGAATATTGTGCAAACTCAATAAACATTAGCTGCGTTTCTGTCGTCATTACCCTCGGTGTTGCTGTTAGTGAATTATTGCAAGAAGACCCCCTGTGGGGATAACAAGTTTAGAAAAGACTATTAAACTTCTACAAGAAAATACAGTTTTCACAGTCCTGGGCCCATGGTGTTTCTTAGCACATAAAAGGTGCTAAACATAAAATAAGGTTAATAAGTTGCACTTCCTTGCCTGCCGTGCATGGCTCAGTGGTTGAGCATCGACCTATGAACCAGGAGGTTATGGTTCGATTCCCAGTCAGGGCACAGGCCCGGGTTGTGGGCTCGATCCCCAGTGTGGGGCGTGCAGGAGGCAGCTACTCAATGAGTCTCTCATCATTGATGTTTCTCTCCTTCCCTTCCTTTCTGAAATCAATAAAGATATATTTTAAATAAGTAAGTTGAACTTCCTCAAAAGAAACAAAGTTCTGTTCATCAGTGGCACCGTGAGGAAGTGAAAGGCAAGAAGCAGGGTGGGAGAAGATGGTACCTGGACCTGGAAATGTAAAGAATGCCCCACGTCAATAATGAATCGGCCCCGGCGGGTCGCTCAGGTGGTTAGAGCCTCATTCTGACTCGCCCAGGTTGTGGGTTTGATCCCAGGTCAGGGCACATACAGAAAGCAGCCAATGAACACACTGATAGTGGAACTGTTGTAGGCGGCGGGAACGGCCCAGGTGTTCTACTGGTGGGGTCAGACACACCTGGGGTTCAGCAGCCTCGGTTCTTGGGTTCTCGCTAGGAAGGAATTCAGAGCCAAGACCCAAACTGTAGGGGAGAATTTATTTGGTGAATCATAGAGGCAGGAAAGTAATTCCTAGAAGAAATGGGCTGAGGAAACGCGTTATGGGGGTAAAGGAAGGGCCCTTGGAGCTTGGGAGGGGGGAGGGGCGGGGAAAGGGAAGGGGAAGACGCGGGCTCCTGGGTGGGAGAGCACACCACACCGAGTCCTCCAGCTGCAGGGTGTTCCGTGGAGATTTTGGGGGCAGTCCCAGAAGATCGCAATAGACTATTCAGTTTTCCAGGTGTGTCCATTCAGGGTTGTGGCCCCACTGATTGCCTGGCCATCACCCGACAGCGGGTCATTATTCTGTGCAGCTAGTCCTGACCTCGGCCGTGGCTGCCTTTGTTGCTTATCTGCGGGACGGTCCCAGAAGATTGAAATAGACTATTCAGTTTTTCAGGTGTGTCTGTTCTGGGTTGTGGCCATGGGTCATTATTCCATGCAGCTGGTCCTGACCTCGGCCGTGGCTGCCTTTGTTGCTTATCTGGGCCTGGAGCTGAAATACAACTGATGCCTAGATGTCATCTCTAGGGAGGAAAAGTCCGGGGTCCAAACAGTGCGACCAGCAATGACATGCTGGGAGTGAGGTCCCACCCCACAATGTCCTTTGCTAGGCCCTGGGGCATCCCGCCCTGGTGACCTGTTCCTGGCCCGTCTTCCTTGCTGTGCTCATGTCTGTCTAACTGCCTGTTACAGACCAACAGATCAATGTTCCTCTCTCTCTCTCTCATCAAATTTTTTTATTTTTAATAAAAAAGTAATAAATTAAGAGGCGGGGAGGACTTAAATGACTATGGAACAAGAGAAGACCACCAGGTCACCAGTAAGTACGTGAAATTGTGTTCAACTTCCTTTCCCATCCAGGAAATGCAAAGCAAACCGCCACGTCGCTAGACGCTCAGCAGAATGGCTAAAATAGAAATCGCATCCGCTGTCTTTGTTGGATATGCAGACATGGCCTGTTCTGGAAGGAACTGAGCCGGCACACTGTACCCGCCACATCCAAACCGCCACGTCGCTAGACGCTCAGCAGAATGGCTAAAATAGAAATCGCATGAGCCGCTGTCTTTGTTGGATATTCAAACATGGCCTGTTCAGGAAGGAACTGAGCCGGCACACTGTACCCGCCACATCCTGGCGGTCCCGCCACAGGGACCGGAGGCCATGCTGCGGGATGGGAGCAGTCAGACTGAGGCCAGTCAGCCCTACAGCGAGGGGTGATGTTGAGGAAAGAACTAGAACCCGTGGTGGGAACCTGAGAACAAGGGGGTGGGCGCTGTCCTTCCAAACTGCTCCATACAGGTAGGGGGAGTGAGAAGGAATTGGCAAGTTCCTGTCGGGAGAGGGAGGAGGGCCACAGAGGACGGAGTGTGCGGAGGGAGGCGGGATGAGGGAGGCACAGAGATAAGATGAAGCTGTGCAGACAGGCAGTGCCGGGCAGGCCTCTGGACACAGCCCAGCAGCAGGGACACTGCCTGAGTGGACAGGTGACACAAAGAAACGGGGAGTGGCCATCACTCAGGACTCAGGCTAAGGAGCAAACACCCAAGTCAAAGGAGCCTGAGATGGATGGTTGGGTGGGAGAATAAGAGGGGACGGGCCGGCAGAGGTCCCACAGGCGTGGCCTCGGGGGGACCCAGGTCTCACATGAAACTTCCTGTTTGGCTGGTTTTTTTTTCTTATTCTTGCTGATCCTCTCCTTGAGGAGGAGCCTGAGACGGATGGTTGGGTGGGAGAATAAGAGGGGACGGGCTGGCAGAGGTCCCACAGGCGTGGCCTGGGGGGAACCCAGGTCTCACATGAAACTTCCTGTTTGGCTGGGTTTTTTTTTCTTATTCTTGCTGATCCTCTCCTTGAGGATATGTTTCCATTGATTTTTAGAAAGAGTGGAAGGGACAGGGAGACAGAAACATCGATCAGAGAGACACATCCATTGGTTGCCTTCCCATGCGCGCCTGGACCAGGGCTGGGGATGGAGCCTGCGAGGGAGGTACATGCCCTTGACCGGAATCGAACCCAGGACCCTTCAGTCTGCAGGCTGACGCTCTATCCATTGAGCCAAACCAGCTAGGGCCATACTTTCTTCTAAATATTTATATCTTTATTTATTTCGGAGAGGGAGAGGGATAGAAACATCGAGAATCCTGGACCCACTCCCTCCTGCACAGCCTCTACGGAGGACTGAGGCAGCAACCCAGGCATGCGCCCTGACAGGGAACTGAACCACAACCTCCTGGTTCATAGGTTGACGCTCAACCACCGAGTCACAGAGCCCACCTGGCCGGGCTCTGCTTTGTATTTATGTAGAGGCTGCACATAGTAGGTCTTTCCCCCCTTTTTTAGTAAATATTTAGGCTGCAGCTATTCACACTGGTCTGGGCTTGATCACTTGTTATGGGAAGCACGCCACTCTTTTTCCTGAATTGCCCACATTGTAGGTTTGACTGTATTTTGTGGGCAAGCGACTCTGTCCCTTGTGTGAGCTGATAGTTGATCTAGAGCAGCGATTCTCAACCTGTGGGTCGCGACCCCTTTGGGGTCTAACGACCTTTTCACAGGGGTCGCCTAAGACCATCGGAAAACATATAATTACATATTGTTTTTGTGATTAATCACTATGCTTTAATTATGTTCAATTTGTAACAATGAAATTGGGGGTCACCACAACATGAGGAACTATATTAAAGGGTCGCGGCATTAGGAAGGTTGAGAACCACTGATCTAGAGACTGGATTACATCGTGATTCAACGTTTGAAGCGTGTTTTATGGGCAGTGTTCTGCGTGGCCTATTATAGCTCCGTGGTGCTGTTCCCACATCACCTGCTAAGAATTCAAATCGGGTGATGGCCACCTTTCCCATCAAACCATCACCTTAAGTTTCACTCCCCTTTAATGACTGTTTTCTAACCCTGTCGTTTCATCGGGGCTCTGAAGTCTGTCAGTCCTACTCCTTTAAATCCACCTAATGACTCTGCTACTCCCTCTCTTGACCTCATCCCTCCCATGGGTCTATCCTTCATTCTGTGGCAACGTTTTGTTCCCACAGATAATCCTCTGCTTTCTCACCACCTTCAACACCCATAAACCTTAATTTCAAGTTTCTGTTCTGCAGTGACATCACCCTCTCTTGTCTTCCCAGTTTAACTTCTAGCTCCACCCAACTGACACCAGTAACAAGCACCCCATTTCTCACGCCCCTCCCCCTGCCTTTAGCAGTGCTATTTCCCAGAGAAGAACTCTCCACTGGGTTTAACTTGGAATGAGTCTGCAACAGCCCTGGCCAGTGTGACTCGGTTGGCTGGACTGTCGTCTATGGAAAGGTCAGGGATTTGACCGCTGGTCAGGGTGCATACAAGAAGCAAATGATCGATGTTTCCCTCTCACATCAATGTTTCTCTCTTCCTCTCCCTCTCTAATCAACAAAAAAAAGTAGCTGATGTGGTCAGTGGCCAGAGCATCTAGCTGCCCATGCGTCTATTCCTGGTCAAGGGCATACCTATGTTTCAGGTTGGATCCCTGGCCCAGTTCGGGGCAAGTGCAGGAGGCAATCAATTATTTCTCACATCTATGGTTTTTCTCCCCCTCTCCTTCCCTCTCTAGAAACCAATGGGAAAAATATCCTCAGAGAGGATTAACAAAATAAAATAATATGAACTAAAAAAAAAGGGTCTGGGCAGAAACATAAAGAAAATGGTCATTGACACAATGTTATCTGTCAATTATATCTCAATAAAGTTGGGGGAAGTAAAAATGATCATTTATCTCTATCATGAAATTAAAGCCTACCTTGCCCTAATCGGTTTGGCTCAGTGGATAGAGCGTCGGCCTGCGGACTGAAAGGTCCCAGGTTCGATTCTGGTCAAGGGCATGTACCTTGGTTTCGGGCACATCCCCAGTGGGAGGTGTGCAGGAGGCAGCTGATCGATGTTTCTCTCTCATCGATGTTTCTAGCTCTCTATCCCTCTCCCTTCCTCTCTGTAAAAAATCAATAAAATATATTTTTAAAAAATAAAGCCTACCTTGTCCGATATTAATACAGCTACGCCAGATCTATGTATATTTTTAACTGATTTTTAGAGATGATGAACTGGGACAGAAAAACATCAGTTGCCTCCCACACCTGCCCTGACCGGGAATCAAACCCGCCACCTTTTGGTCTACAAGACGACACTTCAACCAACTGAGCCACACCAGCTGGGGCATTATGTTACTGTTTGTATGATCCATTTTTTC